TTTACTTTTTGTCATAATTTTAATGTCAGTTATGATTTATTATATTAATGTAAATTTTTGGCATAAAATTAATTATGATTTTGCAAAAAAAAAAGTATAAAAATAAACATCCTGTCTGAAAAGTATTAAATGTTGTATCTTAAAATTAATATGAACAATTAATTTGGCAAGTTTTGAATTTTCAAATAATTCTATAAAATCATCGGTGAAATCGTCTTGGTATGTGATCTTAATATTTTCGAAAAGTCAACTGTATAATAATAATCCACTGTTGATTAAATAAAAACACTGATTTAAGAAAAATCATAATTTTACAAATTTCATAACTTTACAACCAAACATGTAGTCGAATTGAAAATATGAATTATGTTCTATACATTTGCACAACAATGGCTTATAAAATATTTTTAATTGTTCCCAATAACTAATATTCCTAAAAATTATATCAAAGAATACGTAAGGTAGTTGTAGATGAATGAATTGTTACGATAAAGCACATTCTGTCAGAGATACAAGACATATTTTCACGAAAAGAACCAACTAGCTAAGAATTTAAAATGTTCCTTACATCCAGGGGAGCTTTACAATATTTATTCACAGTTCGGGAAAGCAAAATGTTTAAGAGAATCTGAAACACGCTTCGCATAAGACAGAGGATCGCACGTGACTTGAAAGTAAAATGGCGAGATTCTAGCAACAATGAGACAATTTTTAGTGCCTCATCAGGGGCTTATGTCTTACGAATTTAATATTCTGCTAGGCGACTTCAAGAATTATCATATTTATATGGAGGTTATTTAAATCTTCAATTTAAGAAGTATGGATATACTGATTAATTTAATTAACAATAATTCAGATTAAAACAATGCTTAGAGTTCAAAATAGACGCATAGAATACTTTATAATTTAAATAACTAATTTATTGTAAGCAACTACATGTCTTCTGGATATCCAGAGTTAAATTTTTTCAAGTCATATCATTATCATCCTCATCAACCTGCAACAGTTCACTGCTGTACATAAGCCTCTTACTTGGCGAGGCACTTAGCCCTATCGCTGGCTACACATATAGATATATGTATACTTTATACATACCACCCACGTTAGTTAAATTTAAATCTATTCGACACGGATAAAACAGCGTTGTTTTTTTATGACATGGGAAATAGTATGTGTAATGTATGAAATAATGTCATTTTATAATATTTTTTTTCTTTACTAATATTTATCTTCCATCTTCATTACATTAGTAAACTGTATATCTATATTTAGTTTGCCACGTCAAACAATATACAGCAAACAGTTTTCACACTACATACAGTGAAAAAATTACTGAGAAAAAAAGCAAAAAGAAATAGAAGTAGCCACGAAATAAATTCAGTTAAATATACGTTAGCCACATGTTGCGTACTATTTTTGATTTTCAATAGGCATTTGTTTTATTAATATGGAATTATATTAATCTAAACTTATGCTTACAACATTAATTAGAATTAATATATCCACAACTCAGACTTGTCATGAACATTAATTAATGAAATTTCCACGCATTATTCAAACATACCATGAATTGCACCAACAAAATATTTGCAATCAATTTAAAATGATTATCATCATATCATTGTCGAAGCTCAGTGGTGATAGTATCGCAATATCATGATACATTGAAAATACTATTCATCATGTGCATAAACAATCATGTTACTTCAACTAATTAAACCCATGATAATTTTTTAGGTGTAAACAATATACATATAATTACGCATTGATTTTCTTGAAAACGAATGCCATACAAAAATATAATAAGATGAAACTGAACGTTCTTTTACACTTTGTTTGCAATTGATACATACTACATATTTAAAGAAACAAAATAGCTTTTGTTTACTTATTATAAATATTACTACTGACGTGTTCTTTCTTGAGGAGTGAATAGAATCAATCTTGTAATATTAAGACTTAAGTATCTTTTAAAGTAACAGTTATTAATGTATAATTCTTAGGAATAAATAGAAACGTCTTGAAATTTTAACAAATTTGAGATGCAATCCTCCTTCTTAAGAACACGTTTTCAAACTGTCGTGTGTATGCGAAAGGAATTAAATAAAGTCGTGAAGTCAATTACACAAAGCGCTGTCGGATCGTGATCAGTTTGAAGTTAAGAAAACTTATTAAAACTCTATCCTAGTTCTGTGATTCAGTCAATACTTTTAATTAAATTGGGTTATATTTTACAGGGAAATTCAATTAAAGTGGTTATAAAGTTATCCTGAGTGATCCTGATTTGAAATGGGATTATTTTCATATTTATTAGTTACTTATCTGAGTAGATAACCCGTCGAACATCGTTTATATTTGGATTTCTGGTTAAATTAACGGCTTAAATTTTAATCAGAGTTAGTAGATGTTTTGTTTAATGAAAATCTCATTAAATATTTGTGTCTTACAACATTTTATAAATTTAGCTGATTGAATAGTAGACCGCCAATGAACTATTTATATAAATATACTTGGTTTTTTTATTTAATATGCGGATAATTCACCAATAACGCTGGAAGACACCCAATAAAAACAGGCATTTCCAATAAAATTTCACTTAAACACGAAATTTTAAATTTTCGCGTTACAGCCTTTTGCCACTTGCCAGAAGGACGTAAGAGAATTTTATGATAACGTAAAATATGCTTTATCTAAAAGTGGACAAAGTTCATTATCCATCGCAAATTATAATGTATACATCGTTTTAAGTTAACTTGTTAGGAATTGGAAGTCACTGTCAGCGAGTAATGGGCGTTCGTGAGAGGAATGCCATTTGAATTTTGTCGATACACTTTGTGTATGTAAAGTAGTATCTTATAGACTGGTTTAAAATACGAAATTGAGTATAATACTGATGAAATTGCAAATATATTTTTATATATATAAAAGATAATTAAGAATAAAGTACAATATAGAAACGACCAAAGATTATCATAAACAATTTGATAAACAGTCAGTGTAACAATTAGGAATATACTTTTATTTACTTAATTATATATATTTATAACTATATATGTTTTTCATAACATTTAAAAAATATTTAAAGTTATTTTTAGATCTTTTCAAATCCAGTTTATAAGAAGATACCCAAGCGCGGTATATTTTTACACAAGCTTCCTTAATTTTCCTTTGTGAGATAGCTTACGTGTTCAGAATATTCTTCAGGAATTGGATTCAAAAATAATTGTAAGACGTCCTGCGTTTAGTTGAACAGAAAATCTTTGATTAGTATCAAGATTCTGCCATTAATTTTTAAATGATTAACGTATGAAAAGAATTTTAAACTTGACATTTTCATCTAACAATATCTTTTTATACATTAGTATAAAAAGATTAAGCTATTTAACATCAAATTTAACTCAATGAAAACATATATGTATGTATATATGGCAACGGCGACTCAAATATTGTGTAAATTACTAATAACCATAATATTTATTCCTGTAAAAAATAAGTTACATTTTTCACAAAATGTGTAACTAAAGAATAAAAGAAGCACGCAAAGGCGGTCTTATTGCAGACAAACAGACTCTGACAGACGATCTTTAGTGAAAGGAAGTTGAAAAAAAAGTCGGGATGCGGGGTAATAAGAGTTTATATTATTTTACTCAGTTCATAGTTAGGAATAACCTAAAATTACCACAAAATACATCAATCAATATCTTGATTATACATAGACAACGAATAAACAGCAATATTACTTTCAAATTTATAATGGTGCTCCTAAAATTGATCCCTGTATAGTAACAAGAAACATCAAAAGATATCAAAGTAGCCCGCGGCATCAATTTCGTTGACAAATTGTATAAAAAGACACTTTAAACGTAGGAACGAACGTTAAAATACCCGAGGATGACTTTTAAAATGGCTGAATGCACGCTAAACACAGCCCTATTCGGCCAACTTTCATTTATTATCCCTCCCATTAACGTAAGAACTCCTTTGTGTCGTGGAAAATATGATTATGACACAAGCCGTCCCTCCTATTGTCCCTTATTCGATTTTTTTCTCGTACAAAAAAAAACTCAATATGGTAGGCATTTTTCCAGAGCTCGTCCGGGAAATTAAAACTGCTCGCAATGTCATTGTACTTTTTTATGGTTTGTATCCTTTGTTGAGGTGCAATATAAAACTCTACTTTACGTAATATGGAACCTTTTCGTAGTAATCTGCATAGTTTTGTGATGAAAATAAAAGTTTATAATTAAAATAAGCTCTCCTATATCACTTATTTAATCTTTTTTGTGGATGCAAGCAGAATTTATTCAAAAGCATACGTTAGAATATCGTTATGAATTCAGAGAAATAACGTAAGTTGGTACTACATATATGCAAAATTCATTCGTAGAAATATGAATTAACTTTAAAATCTGTTATATTTACAAAGTTTGTGGTAAAGCAGATAAAAAATTTCCTGTTAAAATACATAATTATGAAAGCATAAACAATACAAATAGAAACGACAATAAAGTTTGTTATGATATTAAAATTCAAATTCGAAAACTAATATGATATTGAACATACTTTATTAAATTTTATATATAATAATTATAAAGTATATCTGCATCTAGAAATAGACTAAGCCAAGGCGTAAAGTATAAAGAAGAACTACATTCAACTCAAACACACTCGTGAACTTCTTATTCGGTAAGAATGAGTTTCTGTAACTTGCACATCTCTATATTGAAGTTGGTAAGTAATCTGAAATAATTTGAATTTCCAAGAAGTTACGCTGTAAAGGTGAGGTTTTTACTAAACCAATTTGTTCTCTGGATTCATTTATGTTTTAAGCATTATACAATTTCAAATCCAGATAAAAATAATTTAAAAATATTATGTTTTAAATGTGACAATACTTTGAACTATACTAAAATTTAATACCGTAATAGACAAAACTGGGTAGGAAAGGTTAAAATGCGTCGTTTCAAAAACAAACAATCAAAAACTATTCAACAAAGATTTTAATTTTTCTCGTCCTTCAGCAGTTTGTATATGAATGAGAAGTCTTTTTGTCCATAACCACGTGACTGGACAATACGGTACAACTGTGTGGCAACGGCACCGAGAGGGATGGGAGAGCGGATGCCGAGAGCCATGCCACTAGCCAGCTCCAAATCCTGGAATAAGGCTTACATTGAACAAAATATGGTTCTAACTTATATTATCATCGGCCTATCAGAGCCCACTGCTGAGCATCTTCTTACATAGAGAAGATTTGAGCATTCATTACCACGCATGCTCAACAAGGGTTAGTTAACCGTCTGCCAGTGGTGACTAAATACTCTTAGAAAGAACATACGACTCAAAAAAATCATATTAGCTAGGTTTCGAACCCGCGTCCTCATGCACGAGAGGCGGGCCCTTAACCTCTAGGCCACCACGACCACCTTGATATTAGTAACAATAATTTCCTTTCTGCTTTGCAGACATTTAATTAGAAAACAGATAATTCCAAATATACACCGCATATACCTATAAATAAATGCCAATATACCTTGACCATAAGTTCATTCTTGAAACCACCATCATAGTTTCTGCTGGATGGAGCGGTCGGCACCAGTCCAGGTACGGGACAGTAAACCTCAGTAGACCACGAGCGCGCTGAAGAGTTGTTCAACACGTCCAGCAAAACTTTGGGATCTAAGCCCATTCTGCAATTTTAGTAATACTACAATTAATAAGATGCAATTAAACAAAATTGTGAGTACATAATTCTGAAACGGGTGACCACTTAGAGAAAATTTTAAAATTGCAACTTATCTCGTAATAATTTTTTATTTCTTTTAAAAGCATTTGAATGTTTATTTGTAACTAGTTCCAAACATTATGTAAGAGTGAATAATGCCTTCGACCCAAAACAACGGGGCAAAACTTTATATCGATTGTAGATAAGACAATGATGTAAAAAATTAAACCCTGACGAAAAGAATAAATGCCAGAGGTTTTGAAGGATAGTATAAAATTTCGTATAACCTAAAAGGTTATAAAAATCCACTGTATTTGATTCTGTAAAATAAAAATTCCTTGTACGGTATTATCTTTAACGCCAGAACGTCGTAAATCTAGAACAAATTGTGTAAGTTTCCATTTGCTTAATAAAAATTTCTCTACCCTTCTATTTACATACAAATATGATTGGAAGGTTACATTTTGATCAGACCTCCCGTCATCGCCGTGTAGGCGGTTTCCCGATAAACTAACACTGCTAGTATTTTTTATCGAATTATGAGTAAAATATCACAAAATTTTTCTGCTCATTTCTAAACTCTGATAAATAAAACAACGATAATGCTTAAGAAATTCAAACAAATTAATCCAATATTTATATCATTGTTTACAAATCATTATATTGTATTAGCAATAGTGACTCTATTTTTTCATATCATAAACAAATAAATGGTCTAGATAAAGTGATAACACTCAATAAACAAAGCAAATACATACATCAAATGTTTTATATGAAATATTTAGCGAATAGACAAAGAAATGGTTCCAAACTAAATCCACAAAGTCAATAGGAAGTTATAACAACCGAGTACTATTAAAGTAATACAGCGGTATAAAGTTTTGCGTAATTAAATCAAATCTCATGCAGGTTGAAGCTAAAGTTCCACTAAGTTTCGCTACAGTTGCATCCAACCCATTGTTATGACGACAAGATGACGTCACGTCTTATACAAACTGATAGATTTTGATATAATTTCATATATATTTTGCTTTTAAACATACTTCGAAGAAAGACGTGATGATGATAAACGAATTCTCCCTGAGTTTGTGACGTAATTTTTATTAAGTAGTAAGTTAATTCTATTTATAAGTAAATATTACGTAATTCCCCATACTCACTTAATACCCATGTTCATACATTCAGCTGTCGCCATACCAGTGATTCCCATTAGCATATTATTTGCTAACTTAGCCACTTGACCGGCACCGCTGTCGCCACAATGAAAATGTTTGAGGCCCATGGCTTTCAGCATTGGCAGGGATCTTTCGAAATCCTCTTTGCGGCCTCCTACCATGAATGCCAAAGTGGCGTTTTGAGCTCCCATTACACCTAAAAGTATAAGTATAATACGGGTTATAAAATATAGTTGTTCGATTATTGGGATTAAGGATTTTTCATAGCTATGATTAGTATATCCATAATTTTGAAATAATACACGACTTATACAATGTAAGTATATGAATGAAACAATTATTTTGAATGTTTACTTTGGTATTATTCCATGATGATGTTCTGATATAAATTTAATTCCAAATACACAAATACATTATACAAATTTTATTAAAAATTAATCAAATGGATTGTATACAATTAAAACATTACCAGTAATATTGGCATTTTATTCTTATTAATTATTGTTTCAATATAATATCAGCTACATTCCTTTTAAATATAAAAGATTTGTATTTCATGTCGTAAGAATTTTTAATTAAATTATTACATTGAAATTTTTATCTTTATTTTGGGGAATTTTTATCAGACGTCAATGTTTACCAATACCAATTACTGTGATAATTACGTAAGTTTACCTAATAATTTAAAAAATGTGTGCAAATGGATTTCGTTATCTTGATTGTTTTGTCTAAAATTATATCACTTTGTATTAAATGAAACATGTACATTTATTACGTCTGGAATATTTCTGTTCGTGAAATATTTCATATATTTTTAATATTTTACAAAAAGTTACATAAAGTATGAGAATTAAAATGATATAGAGCGTACAATGATTAATATAACAGCTCATATTCTGATTGAATTCTTAAATGAAAAAAATTATATTTTTCGTATGGTTAATAGTCAAGTAAATTATTGAGGAACTTTAAAAAGAAATTGTTAACAAAATGGTAATTTAAAGGGAATAAATAAAAAGTTGGAAGTTTTATACGAGTGTTAATTAAACAAAACAAAGCAATTAAATAGTATTTTTAAAGCTTCCCAAATATTTGTAATTAAGTATTTGATTTCAAACAAATTGTTAGTAACATTATATTCTTTGATATTTTACCTCCAGAGACCGGGGCATCTATGAAGTTGACACCACTCTCGATAGCCACTGGAAATATTTGCTTGGGAACATTCGGGTCTACAGTACTTGAATCAATAAGAAGTGAACCTTTTGGTGCCTGGAAATAAGACAAAATACCATTTTAGTTTTAATTTTTCCCTCAACAACAGAGGTTTTAGTTTTTCCCTCATAAATCTTCATCAAAAGTTGACTTGTCCTGAATAAGAAACGAAAAATATTGTGTTGTAAAAAAAACTTATAACTTTGACAACGATGTACCGTAACAAGCAAAGAAACAGATTCTAATAAAATAAAGGGCAATACTTTAATCAAAATACTATTTTTTGTTGAACATGTTTCAGCTTGCCCTGGTCTTTATTAACTCAAACGTTTCACTGCTTAACAGACCGTAGTTCAAGCCGTCTGGCGCTGACATCAAAGTCTGAATTGATGTACAAGTACTATTTGGAACGTGAATCTCAAATCTCAAAAATGCCTAACAACTCCGTCTCTTGAAAGAGTATCTTTTTGTTTTTGAAATTGCTCTCGACTTCACATCTGCGTCATCTTCAAAAGAAACTTATTTTGTACGTAATTTTTGCCTAGACTTTCAAAAATGTATCTTCGTAAATACTATACAAGTAAGTCATGAGTTGAAACGTATTTATTTTTATAAATATATAATCGTTTTCAATATGTCATATATATTTAAGTAAAAATTTATAACATCTACATAAGAACACGTCATCGAAGACATTGTCTCTTATTCCATATTTCTGTTAAATCTCATAGACGCCTTAATAAACTCTTTTTAAAATATATATTGTTTGTTATTTCTACATACATGTTTAACCACGCCATCATTTCCGAGGTAAGCGTCAAGAACGACTTTGTTGCTAGGCAGTATGGACACTACAGCATCAACTCCATCCACTGCTGCTGCTATGGAACTGGCGCTGGTAACGCCTTCTTTGGCTGCGGCATTCTGAGCCTCCTTAGAAGGATCGTAGCCTCGAACATTGAAGCCCTGGAAATTACATTACCAATTAACCTTAACATTTCAACGCCTTGATAGGGTTTATTGGTATTTTATCCAGGGATCGTGAAAAACTCGGAAAGACGGCCTAAGCAAGCCTACCCGATATAAACTCGTATATGTATATATATATATCGTCGGAAATAGTGCAAATCCGCGTAACCATTGCATAACTCCTCATATCAACATTGAGAGTAGATTATCAGAAGAAAGTTTGAGCTGAAATATTTTCTATATTAACAACTTATAAGGTAATTTCTTCACAATTAGTAATTATTTAATGTTTAATTTATTACTCATTATGAAAAAATTGTCTTAAAAGTCGTTACTTAATTAAAAAGTACTGATAATCACTTTATTGCATTATCTAATATGACAGTATATAATAGTAGCAATAGCAAAAGCAATTTGCATAACATTAGATGTTTACACAACAGTCATTATTTAGAGTCAATAGATTACGAATATTAATTCTGACGTAACAATAACTAGGGTTGTACGATATAAACGTGGGTCGAGGAGATCAAGGAGTAAATATTTTCGCCATACAATTTACATTCAGTTATCATTTAACACAATAAAACGATATTAATGTGTTTCCCTGAGACCTTAAGCGTTACGCAAAAAGCCACCATCTGCATAATTTAACATAATCTTTGCATAAATAGAAGGATTTTAATTTTAAATACCCGTAAAAGCATTAAATGGCACTTCACTTTTTATCTTTCTTTTCATTCGTAATTTAATTTAATGAAATCAACCCTTGAGCTAATTGCTCCACTGCTATTTAACTATTCAAAATATTCATAATTCATAATATAAACAACTGACTGACATTATTTTAATATCAAATTAGTTAAGACATGGTTTATGAATAGCAAAATTTTGTCATGGCCTACATATTGTAACATAATTTTCTTTTAAATTACATATGTTGAGTATATGATACGACAATTTATATTTTAATTATAAGTATATAAAACATATTTATTTAGTAAATCGTATCTTGACAAACTATTGATATGAAACTTTTAAACGTAAACGCTTCAATTATACCTATTAATTATACTAAAGAAATATCACACTATTTTATTTAACATTCTGGCTAATATATTTAACATGAATTTTTACTCTTTAAATAATTCAACATATTACACTTGTACGAATACATATAATATATGTATATAAACTTTATTCTATTCTATCAAATGACCTTTAAGTGACTGCCAATATTTTTAGAATTCTTTAATTTAATAATGTATTATTTTACATACATTACAAAACAAATTTATAATAATAAATATATCACAGTTTACAATTTTGTAAACCAATACACATCATATCTGTATTCAGCTTCAAATATCAAATCATTTATCTCATTTACATTGTATAATATTAACAAGAATTAACGCTGGCTGATGTCATTTCATAGTCAAAAAATTATTACTATGAATGGGTATACTTATTACGAGTGAATAAAACGCGTATGAAACTGGATTATTTTAATTTATGTATAATATTTAATCAAGTGGTAACACGAAATATCTTTATACAATATTTGTATTTGCGTAGCTACAAAAATAAGATAAGAAACACAGGTAAATGATAAATTCTGAATATTTGATTGTGAACAGGGGAAAACCTTTGTATTGTTTAATATAAGTCTGTTTGTTGAAAGCTGATGGTTTTTATATAATGAATTCCAGATACGAGTTTTTCAAAAAAGATTTATTTATTAAGAAAATTAATATAGTAATATTTTGAAGTACAATCTGACGGAAAATTTACTATCTGATTGTTTACCGTAACGTACATCTCTATAGTCTTACTTAGAAGCTTAATGAATGACAATAAGCAACTGGTTTTACTTTTAAAGGTATTGCCTTCTGAATTAAATACATTTTTCTAACATTAATTACAATTTTAGACTCTATTAACTGTGACTCTACAAGGTATAGAAAATCAAATTGCCCTAACGACTATACATAATTAAAAGTCAAATTTATGTTAAGTATATGTATTTCAATTTGATTTTTCGTGGCCATTCAAAAATACATTTATCAGTGGCTATCAGTATTATAATAATCTAGAGAGAAACGATGTCTTATAATAAGAAAGTATCAGTGCGATGTCTGTAAAAATAGTTTTGGGTTAAAATTAATATATCTCGAAGATTAACCTTGAAAACGAATCGTCGCTGAAACTTCTACATAAAAACATACGAAAAATAATCATACATACACGTGTGAAAAATAATAATTATTGAAATTTTTTTTTTCTGATTGCCTAATACGTAAAAGAGTATCATATAAATAATAATCGTTTGACATAAAATATTTTAAATACAATTAAACACGTGGTTTGCTAAAAGTCAAACAACTCATAGCACAGAGCATTTAAACATATTATTATCACAATCACCAACAGATATATTTTAATTATGGATGTACCTTTTTCACGAGGTTGGCGGCCATAAATCCACCCATATTACCAAGGCCAAGGAAGGCGATATTTTTATCTGCTTTGGAACTGTAGTTCCTCCTAGGAATAGCTAAAAACCGGCTGATCGGGCGTGCCGCCATTTTGGAATAAAATTATACACGTCCGATGCCGGCGCCCGCGCACAACTTACTAATTCGAACGACGAACTACGAAGTTCGGTGTGGTAGATCAAGCATTCCACTGTTCAAATTGACATTAATCTTTTATTTACTTACGCTTTATCAACATTACATTCAAAATTAAAATTAAATTTCTATTCTTTTCCTTGGATTGTGACATCAAATACATTAATTAATACTTTCACTACAGATAAATATATTTTTTAATGAGCCAAATATATCGATTCAAAATGATCATGTTGATAATGGTGTTGTCTCTGTCTCACACGTAGTTATTTATATATTTATTCCTCTCTACCACTATCAGCTCGTCTGAATGCTATCATTTTGTTATTTGTGTAGTTTACCAGTCAAGGTTACTAGGTTAGTTATAATATATTACTAATACTAGTGTTACTCAATTGAGAATGCTATTTGTTAGGGAAATGTTTCGTTTCGTTTTCGATATAAAAACACATAACCCTTAAACTACTCAAGGTTAAGGTCAGGAGTATCACTTAAGATGAAAGATTCATTAAGATCTTAACTCCTAAGAGTTTGATTGTTGAGTACTCTCACAAAGTACCTTAAGGGCACTTCAAGGGTTTTAATAGATAAAGATAACTCAGGGTGGAAATACAATTATTATCTTCGACAGAACTTAAATCATTTAAACTATAAATTTTTGCGACATAAATGTTGCTTTTATTAAAGCATTCAACTATTGACATCAAAAATATTAAATTAAAAATGCTAAATTTTGAACTAAGTAAGGTGTAATGATCATTAAAGGCCAGTCTTTAAAGACAAGTTCTCTTGATCTTGCCACGCCCCGTCGCCTCTCATAGCAACGAAATCGAGATATCGCTGGAAAATAAATATCTACATATATAAATAATACTCTGTAGTATAGTTTTACTGTGATGACCACAGTTCACAACAGTAAAACTGATTAATAATTTTTAATGAATTTTCAGTACTATTACTTAAACACATGAATATTTTATTAAAGTTTACAGAAACAATTATTTTTATAAGCGGTACGTGTTTAATTATGAGGGTTTTCTTCTACATACGTAAACTTTAATAATAAAATAAAAAATACGAACAAGGTTGGGGGAATCATTTATAACAAATTAACTAACAGAAATGATAAGTTTATTTAGTCGTGGCCAATCAAAAGCATATGAATGTTTAAAATAGTTTTATTTCCCTGCTATCTTGCTACAGAACTGTCGCAGATTTGAAATTTAAAATGGTACCTCATATCCACAAAAGCAATTATGAAATAAAAACCGTCTGTAAATCTTCAAATCCTAAAAAGATAGACTGAATGACTGCTACAGGCTTTTTATTACAGATCAATAATCTATTAAATTATACTTTTTACAATTGTGTGGGTTGTACCTACTAGGATAGTTTTTAAGGATATGTGCCTACTATCTGGAAATACCACTCAATACCTTACTAGCTGAAGATGAAAAGTCATGACGTCACTCTACCAATGATGTGAAGGGAGGTTCTCGAAACTTTCTCTATGGATTTCAATACATATATTCTTGCTCATCCAGCTTATGGTAGTAGTTTTTGAGTAGTAATTAAAGAAAGTAAAGCTAAGAGATACTTATATAGGTTGTGATAACATGAGAAACTAGACAGGACGCAATATGACACCCTAACCTACATTCAGACACACATTCTGACCTGATATTAAAATATCTGAGTTGATAGCTATACCCTTTTTTAATTTATAATTTGTATGTGATGTTTCTCAATACAAACCTTAAGGTAAACAAAAAAATGTTAGCTTCTTTACTGTAAAGTCTTCACAAAATATTTTTTACTTCCAGCTTCTTCTTATTTTTAATCAACAACGATAATTTATACTATAAAATATATACAGATAAAAAATTATATGAAAGAAGTTTTCAAGAATGTGATATAAATCACATCCAGCTCTAGAATTGAACGCCAAGAAACCATTTTAGAATCGAATCCAATCACAATAGAATTCAGTTTGTCTTACTTTGAAATCACATGATATTTAAAAAACTCCAGAAGTTTGTCAAATATCTGCGGCAAATCAGAGAGGCTGTTTGAACAGCAACAGATGGCAACGATGCTTGTGGAACAAACCTAAGATCATAGAAATATCGACTTTGTTGTGTGCAACAACACATTCTTGAAACAACAAATAACTTGAAAATTGTGCTATATTTAATACTGTACTCCCTTCTTTGATTAAATAACTGTTATAAATACATGTTATATATTTACTATGTATTCAAATTTATTTTTCACGTTTCCCTCGTCCAAATACTATAAGAGTAAAACCATAAATCATATTAATATTTATATAATCTGTTTCGAAATGTCGTACCAATTGATGGGGTGTGTATTGTTGCCTGTTCCGAAATAAGCGGAGCTCAACAACTTAAATAATTTTATTTTTGTTTGACAGTTATGAAATTTATTTCAGTTTTCTTTCCAAAAAATATTGTCCGATAATATTTTTTTGTGAAACAAGCCTTAAATGCTCAATATTATATTATAATAACAACTTAACTTTTAACTGTTTTAATTAATTAATTATAATTAACTAAATGATAGTTAATATCTGAAACAAACACCATCTGTATGCAATGTTATGTGTATTAATTTAGTTAACTTATTGCTTCTTATTAATTGAAATCCATAGTTTTAAATACGATTCGTACTTGTAATTAAAACCAGACCAGTTAAAGCAAATTTATAGGCTCCACTGCACCGATACCCGCTCATTTGCAATTCTGAGCCTCATTACGCAACATACTCTTTCAAATTACACTCTAAACAATGGTGTTTTTGCTAAAGCGATGTAAATGACAATAGTAATTAGAACCACAAACTGATGAAGCTACATTTAAAAATAATTTCGTCATATGAGAATTTTCAAATTTTCCAAGATTTCACTTTCAAACAGTTCAAACTTTACTAAGCTTTGAATATGAAGAAAATAATTACATTGATATTTAATATGATTCTATAACATTTTATTATTTTTAATATATAAAAGAATAAATTTATTTTTCTCATCTACATACACATTTCCTTTTTATACTTCCTGATTTCTTCTAAATAGTCTGTTTGTTAAAATGAAAACACTTTTGCGAACCTTAAAGCTTTAGGTAATTACTTTCTATGTGTTAAATAAAAACACACACACACACAAATATAATGAAATAAACGTCGCCACCTCATGTAATTTTCCACAGATTATATTTACCCGCTTCTCAAACACGTTTATAAAATTGTGTCATGTACATATATCATTCTAACATCATTTTTTATTTGATATAGTATTTCATACATATTATGTTCCCGAATATATGTTAAAAATATTAAATTTCTCTCCATTATTGTGAAAAAGAGTTAGTTTTAGTATCTTGGCGACGTGGCTTCTCTTCTTCTGGTCCGATTGCATCCATTGTAGAACCTTTTCTAACTAAGATGTACGCTTATCAATATCGATACATATTTTTAACGGGTGAAATGTTATTAGATTGTAATACAATTATTGTAAAGTATAGGTGACATTCGAAAATGATTCAAAGTAGACATAATTTTTCAGAATTTGATAAATAGCTATCCTTTTCGATAGGAATCGGTTAGAAAGCTTCTTAAATTGTCATCAGTGGCTAAATAATTTTGATGTTTAGGTCCTAAGAGCAGATCTGACGTAAAGTTTTTCACAGCCAACGACTAATTATTTCCTTTGTCTTTTGTAAGTGAATCTTGTTTAGTTTGTTTAATAATAATTAATAACTAATCCGGTTCCTTATCATTGCTGACATAAGGAATGGCAAAGTTCTCCTAAATATTATTATTTTAAAAAAAAAGACTATGTGTCAATCTACTTAATGCTTCAAATACAAGTGTTTGTTGATTTTGGATGTGTTGAGGTAATTTAATTAGCTTAATTTCAAATACTATAGTGCTTACGAAATCTGTTGTTTCCAATCTTTGGTAGCCATTAAGTTTATCTAACAGTGATAAAAGCTTTGTTGTCAGCTTTCGAACCATTGATATAATAATCTTATCATGGATGACAAAATTGTTGTGTATAACCAGAAAAAGATTTTTACGAAATCACTTTGTACTGATAATTTTAGTGGTAGTAAAAGTATAACAACAACAAAGATTGCGAGCACTTTGGTTTAGTTAACATGTATGGAATGAATTTTAAAGTATAATTTATCTGACTTTAAAAAAGTAGAATGATTCAAAAGACTCTTTAGAAAAAAATATACTGTAGTCCTCTTATTGTCATCTTAATCATTCTAATAAAAGTGGCGATCAAAACTCACCATGAGGCTGTTTCACGAATTTTTACCATCACAGTGGCGACACGCAATAAAGACTCACAGCCAACTTTAAAAACAAACAAAGGGCATACTCTCTTTATATATACTACCTATACCTAACATATCTCAATGGGACTGTCAGTAAAAAAAACATATGTCAAGCGAATGTACATCCCCTATAAATCAACAGCTCTACATTGAGTTATCCCTTATATTACAATAATAGCCATCTAGACTTGATTTTCGACCAAATTTTTATAATGTAGTAATATCGCTATTCATAAACTTGTTCATATAAATGAAATTATCTACGGTGTGATTTTTCAGAAAAATTTCTTATAATATAGGTAATATTAGGTAGACCAATAAACTATTTTTCTTCTGTCTCCAAACGTATTAATCTCTACAATTCGTAAATTCATTTCATTCCAACATTCATAAACTAATTTTTCTTTTATATCATTTACTCTTCCTCTTTTTCTTAAACATTATCTTAGTAATAATATTCACCATCTCTCTTTTTGACATTCTTATCTTTCTTACTTCCAATAGTTATTTGATTATTGTCTTTGGTTTACAACTTGGTATACTCGTATGTGACTTATTTTTGTTTCCAACCTCTTGAAAAAGTTATATTGCCCAGGGATAAGCAGAGATTACAAATAAGCTGAAAATCAATGTTATGACATTGTTAACTAAAGTCAATTAAATATAAGTCAAAAATTAAAGTCAATTAAAAAATATATTTTAATGTTGTCACTAAAAAAAGAAATGCCTACTAATATTACAAGAGTTAATTAATTGAAATTTTAACATTATACAATATACCTACATGTAGTGGCTTCATATTCTTTTATGGATCTGCAAATTCTGTAAACAAACCAAACTAGAACATCTAATTCTAACACATTCAGGCAAAACATTTGTATCTAATGACAGTTAGGAAATTTATCGTGGTCGAAATATTAAACACTGTCATTTAATGTTGTTATTAAATAGTTCAATGCAATTTTACAGTTAAATCAAAATATTCAACTCTCTGTAGTGTTTATATCTAAACGGTTTTAAACATTTATTTTCATATTTGGTCAAATAATTTTTATTTTTTGTCCAAAAAATTGAAGTTTTAATATTCAACGATTACAGTTCCTAATAAGTTGATAATCTATATCAAAAGAAAACTTTTTGGCTACTCATCTGTCGACCAAGGATCCAAAACTTTATAATATGGCAATTATCATAATTTGTTTGCTCACATATAATTCGAATTTTAATGAAAACTTCGTTTTCATACTTTATTTTGACGAAGTGCCTTATGAAAAATCATTTGCAATATTACTAGAAATAGTGTTTGCATTTGTACTATGGCAGGCTGATTATCATTATATTCATTTGTATGTTTGCTTATTGTTTGCAGGCTAGGCTTGTCTTTTTCATGTATTATACTTCTAACTAATAACGAATATATATTAAATATGAAAAATAAACTAATTGATGTTTTGTTAACTACTTTGGATGCAGACCAACCAGGCCTTATATATCTTTAAGTCTGATAGTATAGCCACATAGTATTTTATATCTTGAATAAAAGGGTACCAGGTTTTAGTCAATCACCAGCAATCTGCATGCATCCAGAGCAGAACAGGAGTATGTGAATTATAAATTTGAGGCCATTGGTTACCAATACAATTAACAGAGAATAGAGTCCCACTGAAAAAGGTAAAACTTCATAATATGGAAATGGATTTATATTGAACTAATATCTTTAAAACAAACTTTGTTTAAATTGCTTGCACTTCAAAATTTGGTCAAGCGCATGCGTTCGAGTGCCAACCACTTACTCTCCTACTCTCACAAGTCACAACTCTCCTGCTCTGTCTTTTCCTATTACTCTTCCTCAAGAGCTTTGAACATTTAACTCAACCTTCTTAGAAGTCTTATTAAAAATTCACTTAATAAGAATAATTGACAGACACCTTGATCTGATTTAAACGCGGTCTCGATCACTGTATACTAAAGTGTAAATATCTTTCGAGAATCTCTTTCAACTGTACCCAAAACAAGCTACCGGTGGAATAAATTAGTCATTAACGTGTGTAAATATGCATAAATAAATACAATTTAATCTACATATACTGAAATAATGCGAAGATTGATGATACTGTCGTCAAAATATTCTAAGCCCTTAAGCAAGCATTGTAATAAAGATTATATCATCCAAGTAAGTGATAAATCATAAACATTTGACAGGGACAGAACTCCCGCTGCAGGTTCAATTATTACAACATCGGACACGTGCTTCGGGAATAATGATTTATAGAGCAGGTTATTAACGTCCTGATTTATCGTTCAAGGAGGAGTTTAACAGAGGGTAGCGACGTATATTAAGGAACACTTGGAGAATCATATATCAAATTACTCTATAGGAGACTTACTGCATTCGGTGCCATCATAGTTTCAAACGTTTATATGACTGATAAGACAATTTTGTTCATAAACATATTGGATTGGGACTATTTTAAAGCTGCAATAATGCTATTAAATATAAACTCATTGTCAGTCAACAAACAACTCGTTGGTGGTCTTGCTTCATTTAGTCATATACAAAGCAAATAGAAGTCCCAACTACAATCAAATATTATTGCTTTCCCTATAACAAGCAGTAACGTTAATTCAAAAAGCAATTTAAACCTGCATATAATCAAACGTTAGCCGACGATAAACTTAAAATTATGCTTCATTTATCTGAAACCGTATTTGTGCTTGAACAAGTTAATTTGTTGGGTACCTAATAACAAAGCATTCTTGTTCGTTGAACACATTCAATATAGTCGATAGATCCCAGTACATTTTAACTACAAATAATGTAATGAAGAGCAATTTGAAATATTGAAACCAATATTAATTATAAGGGATAATATATATTTTTAACTACATAAACATACATTTCGTAGCATATATATTTCATATACTTAAATAATGCAATATAAAATTCACAAATATGTATAAACATAACCAAATTCAGAGGTAAAATATAGTATAATATATTTTTATGTTAAAATTTTTTAGAAACATATATCTTTTAATAATCAAAGTTATAATAGTCGGTATAACGTTGTAAAATTTACGAAAGCATATATAACTTTCTCTCGATGTAGAATGCCCCGTACCAATTCTGAGCTTGAATTGGACACGAAAAGAGTTAATCTGATTTCATCACAAATTCACGATGTTATTTCAGCCGTGCCAGTTACGACATACCTTTAATATAACGACTCAAATTGTTCTCTGCATACAAAGTTTACGCTTATAGTATATATACTTTTAAATTTACCTGTTACGTTACAGTATTCTATAAATATTAATATATTTTTAGGAACTTAAAGGAGATAGCTAGAACAATGTCCAGCATGCACTAATTATCTCATCAAACATCTTAGGCACACCATTTAAATTATACACATAATTTTCCACATTTATTTTTTAAAATTTGCCCCTTGAAATATTTCGGCTCGTATATGATTTTCAATAATGTCCTTAATATTTGTGAAATTCAGTGACTAGACTTGAACTTAGGTCTAAGGTTCTTTTAAATAAAAGTTCTTGTACAAAAAGTTCTTGTATATATTTCAAGATTGTAATGGTAATTATTATACAATATGCATTTTAACGAATCTTTTTTTCTTGTTCGCATGTAGCTGATAGTGGATAAAGTGTATAAGATATAAAATTTTGTAAAGAAACTTATTATTTGTTTACTTCTGGAAACCTTAAATCTGTGTTGCTTAAGTGTCTTTCCATGTATTCGTCAAGTTCTTTCATTAATTCCTGAGAGTGGAAATAATTCACCCAATTACCAGATTTACCTGTGAAATTATAAACCACTTTTCATATTAAATGTTCATATAAAAAAATTGAAATTTACAAATATATGTATTCAAACCTTTCCTAAAAAATTTCATTTCAGAGTTAGTATCATCAGCCTTGTTGAATTTGGATGCACTTCTATTTTTCATATTGTCAAAATTCAGATATTCCGCTAATTTATTTTTTTGTTCTTCAGAAAAGTCTTTTCCGAGGAACTTGCAAACTTTATCTATGACAAGACGTAGATCCTTAAAAAGACGTTTCATTTAAAAATCAAGTCCTATAAAATTTAAAAACCCCATAGATCTTAATTACCTTTTGCATTTCCTCATAAAAAAGAAACATCATATTAGGGTGGTTTCGTTTTTCCCAAGATTCCTTTATTTGCGGAAATATAGGCATATGTATGACTGAAATTTATGTAATAGCATACTTTAGAGATAATAACAAAAAATCCTATTCAAATTACTTGCTGTAATTACCCAAATCTTTTTTGAAAAGTTCCCAAAATTCCTCCAGCTCCACACTTTCGTCGAAGTATCTAAACAATTTGTGCATGAAGAAGAAAGATACAAGCACGTCACGAGGGTCCCGCGCTATATAAAATACCTAAGGGTTATTAAAAAAAGGATTAATTTATAGCCATTTAAAACGGCTACATATTTGCTATATAGAGATGCAAGGATTTTAAGCTACATGAATCAATTTATGATGTAAATTGAGATGAGCTAAAAGAATAGTCGTGATTTTTATAATCATAAACAACCTGGCCCTAAAGTTCAAATTGGAAAATAGTTCGAATTCTCCTTTATGGCAGTCCCAAAATTTGGTTAATTTCTTTAAAAATTAAGTGCCGAAGATTTGTTTATAAAGTTTTTGCTAACCCAGATGTGTAAAAACTAAAAATCTTAACGTCTATCTAATGAATAATTTCAAATACTTTAACCTTTGCAGTATCAAGTAGCTTAGGCGGCAATAATGAGAGTGGTAGATGACTCTTAACATATCTTGGTGACGCCAACGTATTCAGGTTCGTGAAGTCATTGACAGTGGCACGGTAACCGTGATCTTTCGAGGATGGGTTTTTTTTATCCGATTCCAAAGTTGGGTATCTGCAAGATAAGTTTGGAGATAAAAAAAATACGGATATATGATGTAAAGAGATGACTCTTCATATTTAATCTAAAAAAAATTATTTGAAAGTAGATGACTATGACTCACGTACATACATATAAAAGATATAAAGATACATACATATATATGTTAACATTTTGTTTCAGTTGATTCATTAAGCAAAAATCAAATAAAAACACAATATAGGACCAAATTCCTGATCATTTTTGTCATGTAAAGAATCGAAGACAAAACGCCTGTCGTAATTGTGAAGCTTTAATTAATTCAGTCTAAATATCAAAACACCTCTTTTACCTCATAATGAATGTGCAGGGAATGAAAATTTTATACCTTCGGAGACTTACTCTATATATGCAAATCTTTGAGACAACGTTGTCGTGGCCGTTTCATAATCCAAGTTGTTCGCTACAAGCCATACCAGTTCTTGGAGCCACGTTGTCCCTAATTGAATATAAAATAAAACAATATAAAGAATGTCCCTGTTACGATTGTCGACCTGACAACTAAATGATATTTTTATTTAACTTCGACTTGACAACAAAATTTTTTATAAACAATAGACGTTTGTCAGTGTATTAAGATATCACAAACGTAAACTCAACAATCACTTATACTTTATCAGAGATCAGTATGAATCATGACTAAAAGGTTTTCAAACCTGATCTGGAGAATGAAAGGACCCAGACATCATCTGTCCTTACATCAAGATTATAAATGGTCGAAGCGTGTTCCCTGTAACCAGGAGGTAGGAAGTATCCATGACTGCCCACTCGAAGAAACTTACGGACATAGTCTGGTAACAAAACAAAATTAATATCTTTCAAATTATAATAAGTATTGTTATATAAAATATATATAATGTACAAGCAATAACTAAGCTATTGTGTTTGACAACGTTATTACGGCGATTACTTGTGTTCAATGAAACGAAACACGAATCGAATGTTGCCGAGCTGAAATTGAGCTGTGATCGAACCCGTAGACCTTTCAATAGAACCATAATATATTAAATTGAATAAAATGTTGCGTCATTACTATTATATTGTATGAACATTGAAATATGTTAGAACGCTTTATTATTATTATTCGAAATCATATTATTATAATTAATATTTCCCAAAAAGGAACATGTTATTGATAATTATTTCACTAAAACTTACTCTTGTAGTATTTCTTGACAATCATGTCTTCTTCTTCAGTGACCTCCTTGATTTCAAGCCGAAATTCTAACGTCTGCGTCATATTCTAAAAGGAACAAATATAAAGGTCAACATTATCGCCATTTATACCATTTATTTCAAAATGAAACTATTTATTTCAAAACGTGTCGAACACGGAGATATTTTGAAATAAATACAGTAAAAAATAAATCTTGTAAAAAAATTTACCCTACTAGTCATTTTTATTCAACTTAACTTTATTTCTGTTATATTTTTATAACTAACACTTCTTGTGATTCATTGTCGCTGAAGTAATATGTCGTTAGGAGATAAACACATCGTGCAAAGACTTCTAAAAAAGTTTTCAATCGGAAAGTAGATTATAAAAATTTCATTTCTTAGAAACTAGAATTAGTTGTTGTTTTAAAGAACGACTTTTTCCGATAAAGGTGAAATAAAAACTTATATGACTGTGTATGACGTATATCTATAAACTTATTATACATTCATTTTGCTTTTCTCATCAACCTGTATTGAGAACTAAGATGAATGAATTTCCTTAAAATTACTACAAAACTACGAACCACTTTTATTTTTACATCAATATTATTATATTTTATACTACTCATATTAGAGCGTTATGTTGAATATCTGGCTATGTAGTGAGCAATTTTGAGGCATATAATACACGGAATTAACAGTTCTAGGAATTAAAACTTCAAGGGAGCAAAACATTATACTGTTTATATAGTATAATAATTATATCTAGTTAGTTCAGATTGTATTAATACGCTTTACATAATGGTAAAATTCCTTGTAAATAAAAGTTCCATTAAATGACTTAACAAAATGCTTATCCTAAAGATATCTGTTTAAAGATATGTATGTATAAGTACTTATTATATTATTGTTTTAGGTATCTTTTAGATTCCATTGATAAGATAAATTATTTAGTTAAAATTGTTCAATGACGTTTTTACTGAACAAAATATTTATTTGTCTTTAAACCTTAATTATAATCTTACAAGTGTTAGTGGAGCTTCTTAAAAATAAGTATTTTATTATTGAGTTTTTATTATCAAAATAATTTTGCCAATTCCTATATTAAATAGCTGTGCTAGTATCAACTTTAAAATTAAAATTCGTAAAGGACGCTGCTTCTGAGGAATGATGTCGAATATAATTGTATTTTTGTAAAATTCTTGAATTGGATTAAAGCCAAGAACGCTCGGATCGTTGATCGAGAACACTTACACCGGGCGAATTTGTAATAAGTGCTTTTAATTAAAATTCAGGGAACAACAATCAAATTAATGAACTACAATTGATCTCCAACTTTCTTTGTCTGTATGTGAAGCTTTTTTTTGTTATAAGAGAATATGAATACGATAAAACAACTCCATTCGTCATTGGGAGACAATACGACGGATTCACGATTGTAATCGGATATATACATATCAAAACAAATAATTTAATATTGTTCATCGATGACGCATAGTTTTTGGACATTCATAGCAAACTTTGAATAATAATTAATAACTCATACTGAGTTAAATATCACGTTTAAATAAAAGTAGTTTTTATAATTATTAAAAAATACACTTAGGAGCGAAAGGAAGTTAGTTTTAAATATTATATTTAATTTACGCATTTCTATATCTTACATGAATATCTTAATATCTTTGTTATATAATAAATAATTTTCCAGACGTTGACTCCTTATAATTACTAGAAGGATAAAATTTTATCTATCCATTTTTAACATCAAAGGAACGGACAGCAAATAGCAACAAAGGTGAGATTGCTTTGAAGTGCCATCGACTTTAATGAGCGCTTGCGGTACGAGTTCAAAGACTGCTGCAAAGGGAACTTCATCTTATGATATCATTAATTGACATTTGCTTCGCTTGTTAGAATTCCACACTGAGGTCGTGACAAAGAACATTGGTAGGGGTAGAACAAAAATCTCATCTTAATAAATGATAATATAGCAACATTTTATAAATGTTTTTAATATTAAAGCAATGTTGAAATAACACTTGCATTTAAAATCAAATAGAAAATTAAGACGACAAAATACCTAACAATAGATTCTGACCTACTCAGACTAGTATATTGTGTTTCAGTTGATTTACAAAATAGGCTTATTGAGATTGATAATTTAATACATATAGGTGTCCCGAAAGTAGTAGGTTCAAACCCTGCTCACATTCCTTTTTTAATTCTAATAAAGATATAAATATATTTTATTAAAAGAACATATTTTTCGTAAAGCCTGATACCTGTTTGTCCACGTTAGAGGATGTCATTGAGAAACGAGTTTAAATACATATATTTATATGCACAGATAATGGCAGTTGTCTGATAATAATATATATAAAATATAATATGCAAATAATATATTCAATGTTTATCTGAATATGTGGCCACAAATTCAATGAAATAATCGTCACAATAACATTAAAGTACAGCTAATATTTTTAATTTTCTCATATAATAACTGTATAAACATTACTGGTATGTATGTAGTTTTAACTATTTTAAAGTAGCTAGATCTAATCACTTCACTTTTAAGACCAACGAGTGTATAATATGCTATTAAATAATTAAAATTTAATAAAAAATCTAAAAGCAATGATAATGTATACTTACTTACAAATTATAGACAGTTACGATGTGCGTTTGTTGACAGACGATCCAACACTAGCGGTGATTCATGCAACTTAATTCTTATATTTGTATGATATTCCATTTAGAATACACAAAGAAGAGTTAGATATATTGATTGCTTAATGAAATAATTTTGTAGAACAAATACTTCAAAGATGTGTTTTTACTATTTCTACTTCTACTTCGCTAACAGTTTCAGAGGTGCCGGGTTAAAATCCCTTACAACTAAAATTGTTTTTATTCGTCTTCTATCACAAACTTTTAATTTGTTAATTTATTTCAACTTTAATTAGTTTTGAATTTTTTATTTTGTCATTTTATTATTCATATAAAAACCAGACTTGGTTTTGTCGTTATTGTGTTGTAAAATGATGCATTAAAACAGGTTTAAATTATTATATTAAAATAATATGCATTACAATAAAATAAATAATTATGAATAAATCACTTGAAATGAAGAATTTTAAGAGACACTACGAAACTGTATATAGGTACATTACATTTATATTAATTAGAGGACTACGTAAAAACAAAAGATTCATCAAATTAGTGATAAATTTGGAAGCAGAATAAAAAATATGAAACTGTATCAATATTTATCTCATCTCCTTGTTGCGTTTAATTTCTTTTAATATAAAAATTAAATTGAAAACAAAATAGATTTTATAAGGGTCAAATAACAATTATAATGTCGGTACAATAAATTAGTGACTGTTCAATATAATGTAACTATGATTCTATGAATAACAATATAATTGAGTCAACCTTTGATTTATGTTATATTGGATGATCTAAAATAAATGAATGCTTCATTAAACAGAAATCACAGAGGGTATTAATTATACAACCAATATTGGTTATGACTAAAATTAATTCATTAATTAGTAACAAGTTGGTCAAAGTTCAAACAGTGTCATAACCCATAATGGCATCTTTTATTAACACTATCCTACTAAAATTATAAGCATGAGAGTGTTTACGAGAAATAAATAGGAATATGTTTAGATCTTTTTTATCCTTGGAAGGAAAAAGTACGAAATGTATTTGAATGAAACGTTATGTTGACCATAATATACAGTTAATTAATTTGCGAGGGAATTTGTATCACAATCATATTTTACATATAGTCATGTGACGTGGCTATTCCAATTTTCTGTATACTATACCTGTTTGAAAATATTTTCGTTCCTCTCTGAATCTCATTCCGAAGTCAAATAAGACGTCGTATACAAAAGCTAATAAGGGAAAGTCTGGCATATTGAACCGACAACGAAATTGGTTCACCTTCATATTTCAAAAAGTAGTTTTAAATTCAATACTTGAAAGTCAAAGTGATATGCATCCAACTTCATTATATATCGGCTAAATTATTTTGCTGTGGCATTAGTATTTTGTTTTGAAAACTCAAATTATTTTGTTTAAAATCTAGCGATCTGTTCTAAAAGTGTAACTACGTTAAAGGATGTTTTGTAAGTTATAGTCTGAATTCTCTATTCGTTTTTGATTTAAATATTTTAAACTGTCGGCAATGTTTGTTGTTAATATTTTATAAGATCGTTTAGCATGAATCCTTTCGGAATGACTAAATTGGACCGCAAGCAGTTGAATAAAATTAACAGTTCCTATTTACCAACTCCTAAACAAAAACTATGGGTGGTAGAGCCTAGCTGTAGTCATTTACTACAGCTCGAACATGGGCTGGCTCGACCGGGGAAGTACCACCCTCTCATAGAAGATCGGCGTGAAGTAGCCTTTAATGGCTGCGTTTCGTCCGATGAGTGAGAGAGCCGGTTGCCCTTTCCCTATTCCCACCCTTTCCTACCATTTCCTTATTCCCACCCCTCCCCATCCCTCAAAAAACAAGGGTGGCAACGCATCCGCAACAAAGATGTTGCGGATGTCCATGGGTAACGGTAACCACCTTCCATCAAGTGGGCCGTCTTCACATAAAAAAAAAAATCAATGAGAGTAATAGTAAAGCAATTTGAAGAGGAAGAACTTATATTTTATACGAATTCGACATCGACCCAGAGGACAAAGACAAGGAAAACGAATGTGATAAATTTAAAGAAATTACTAAAATAAAAAGATCCCAAGCTTGATTAGATCCAGTGTGTGAATCGTCTTGATTGGAATCATGATAGTTGTGCTCAACATTAGGATATTTGGCTTATACTTACATTATGTAAACTTTCATTTTTTTTAAAGGAATTGTTATAGCGATTATTATTTTTTATTCTTGATTTAATTGGAAAACAAGTTTAACTACTTAATAATAAATATGACAAAACTAACTAGTTAAATTCCAACCGTATAAGTATAAGCCAATAAAACTGAAACCTGTAGGTTATTGTTTTATTTCTTACAAGAAACATACTGTAAAATAACAATTATTACATTTAATACGTGTTT